GGTCGTATCTCGAAAAATTCGTAAGTAGGGGCGTTCGTAAGTAGAGGTACCACTGTATTTAAAAAATCCTTAAGAAATACTCATTTGTACTCATTTTGGTTTGACAAATGCTCCTCCATATCTCTTCTGTTTTTCCAAAAGATAGAAAACAAGGGGCCTTCTGGAAATAACATGATTTTAGTCTGAGATATTAACCAGCTGAACAACAAAGATGATTCTGAGCCAATGCTGAATATAGAAATGCTGTGTGTAAGTGCATGTGTATGAATGTGTGTGTGTGTAAAATTCCCCTCTCACCCCTATGGGTGAGATGTGTCTTCCTCAATCTCAGGTCCTCTACCAGAGGCCTGGGAGTTGAGGGTTCTGCGCAGCATCTTAGCTGTTCCTAGCACTGCACTCCTCTTGGCAGAGAGCTCGGAAGTTGTTCCTTGGGTCTGTTGGAGCCATTCTCCCAGCTTAGGAGTCTCAGCCCTGAGTGCTTCTACCACTCCTGGGACCACTTTGGCCTTGACTTTCCAAAAGTAAAAATATCTACTGTATATCAGAAATCAATGCACTACAATCTGCAATCATTGCTAGCCACCATGTTATTGCTATGGGTAGAGATCCATTACTTCTCTACACCATTGGAGTGCCAGTCCTCAAACAGTAGAGCCTGCCAGGTTTTGTTGCTTGATGGCATCTCTCTAAGCAATGGGACAGGCCAAGTTTTCTAATTGCAGGATACAATGCATGTTTGTTTATTCAACTAGAAAGGCAATACAAACAGATAGGTAAATAGACCATAAAAACCAAAGAATAGCATGAGTTATAACCAACTGTGAACTCCTGTGTAGGAGTAAAGCACAATTGCTTAGAATGCAAGGCACATCTGGTTTCCAAGGTATGGAGGATGGTTGCTTAAATTTCAGAAGCTCTTTGGTTTGAGACACACCCAGCCACCTTCACAGCTGGTTATACTGCCGTACTAGGAAAGAAAAGGCAATGATTGTGCTCGCCTAGCATGCTTGGATAGATCATGTCTACATCTAGCACGCTATGTAAAATCAGAAAGCCAGTCTATTCACATTTAGGAGAGGGACCATTTTAATCCCAAATCCTTTAAGTCAATTGTTAGTCACAGCATCTTCTCCTGGTCTTGGCATCTTATGAACATTCAGAAATCCAGTAACTTCTGGGTGAATGATTCTGCTCTATCCAATCAGTTCTTCAAGGAAAGAAGATGGATGTGTAGCAAGACTGGTGGTCTCATTCTGGCAACCACCAAAGATACTTCCCAAACATTGACTGGCTAACCATATCCAAGCTCCATGCACTACTGCCTGGCCAATGAGGAAAGAGCCACTGATATTATGAAGCTTTGTGAGTATTCTGCTGGCTCAAGTGATCATGGAAAATGAGGCAGGGCAGGAGGAATTTGACAGGGACTCTGCATTCTCCCAATAAAATATTTGTACTCCCTTGTATTCATGACTTAGATGAAGAATGTTTATCAGATTCACCAATGACAGAGGACTGCATGGAATAATTAACAATTAAGAAGACAGAAACAGTATTCCAACTGATCTTCACAGGTTAGAGAAGTGGGTTGAAAATTACAGAATGAAATTTAATAGAGATAAATGCATCATTGTTGTTAGGGAAAATAAATCGTGTGCACAGGAATCCAATGTGAAGTAACTGTCTTGGTAAAAACATGAATGAAAAGGACATCAGAATTGTAGTTGACCGCAAGCTGAATATGAGTCATTGATAAGACATAGCTGCTGAAAATGCAATTTTAAGGGGCATCAATAGAAATAGAGTTTCCATGTCAAGTGAGATGGTGGGCTCCCTTTACTGGATATGTGGAAGTAGATGTTGGCAGCCATCAGGGACACTTGAATTTGGATTCATGCACAGAACAAGTGGCTGGACTCCTAAAAGTCCAGCTGTATCCTTTTTTATAGACTGACCCAGTTAGTATGTTTTTGTGCAGCCAGATCCCAAATAAAGAAACTGACTGAGTTATTGCTTATTATGAGTGCAGGCCCGAGTAGCACATCTGATCTGAAAGGGTACAGAACAGGTGCAGCATTCATAAAACTGGACTGATGTCAAGCAAGTCTGTTGTAAACAAGCAGAACAATCCTGTATGGACAATGAACATGGCTACTGAGAGCAGAAGTGATATCTTTTGCCACCTGCCCAAGCACAGCTGAGCTAGTGAGAACCTCAGCTGATAAGAAAGGGGAGGGTGGGAACTGAAACGGACATTGCAATGGAAACTCCAATTCTTTTAAAAACAGAACCATTAGCAGAAAAGAAAAAAACATCCACTACAGTTATTAGCTGCTTATAGCATGCACAGAAAGCAGATCAAAGGTTGCCACAAAGAAATAATTAAAAATATACCTTCTTGTGATGGTTTTAACATAGGAAATCTACTACTGCATATAAGCCCCATAGGGCTTAGGTGGAGAAAGTAGACTGTAAATTTAAATAAAGGCCCTTTATGCATAGAAGGGATGGTAGATTAACTGCTGGTCCTGCCAGCAGTGTCCCATGATCCCATATTTTCATGTTGAACATTAACATCTGCACAGGGGGAAACAAACCATGTAGAGTTCTATACATGTGTGTTTTCGTGCAATATGGAACCCTCATGTTGCACATGCCTGCTCAAAAGGAAGCATACATAGGATTTCTTTTCTCTTTACGTATGGCTGTGTTCCAGGTGAGGAAATAAGTGGGGTGGAAAAATGCAAGTAAATATGTTGGGAAGAGTGATAGCAACAGTGTGTTGGAGAAATGCATGAAGCCCTCTTCAGTTGAGTCACCCATGAAGGGGGCCACAACCTTTCCTATTTCCCATCAAGCAAAATAAACTGCTCTATCAGTTCTGTTCTGCAATGCTCACCTGTCCACTATTAGCAAAATCTTCCACACTTAAAGATGGATCCAGCCTCAGAGCAATTCCAAAATCACAGAGTACACATTCTTGATGGTTCTTAATGAGAACGTTTGTGCTTTTGATATCCCGATGGGCAATGGGAATTTTTGGACTGCCACAGGCAGTGTAGTCACTGTGCAAGTGGGCCACACCACTCACAAGGGAACCTGCCATCTTTTGCAAGTCTCTCCAGCTGAGAATATTCCTGGACAGGTAATCCTTAAGATTGCCTTGGCTGTGGTAGGCAGTGATCAGCCAGTATTCTTTCTGAAGTCCAGAGTGCCTCTCCTCTGCGGTGAGGAACTGAAGGATGCTGCAGTGCTTCAGGTTGGCATCCGTGAAGATCTGGCTTTCGTTTTTCCACGATGCAAATTCCTCACAAGGGAAAATCTTCACAGCCACTGTCTCATACTTGCCTGAAGATGCATGCTTCAGTTTGGCTTTCCAGACTTCTGCAAATTGCCCTTTCCCCACTCGTTCATCCAACTCAACCGGCAGCAGTTCAGCTATATGATTGAGGCTGCTGGTGCAGGCTGGGTGAAGAGCAGAATGATGATCTATCTTGACAGACAGGATCTCATCGTAAGTAGCGGCTCGGCTTGATTCAGGCAGCTCATGACACTGAGTATGTTTCTGAGCCCATTCCTTGGACCTCCTCCTCTGTCGATGGGTTCGGCAGAGATAGAATATCACTGTGATCATGATAGCAACTAACAGCGGGGGCAGCAGGCTGATGGCTGCCACAGGAATGATTTCCTTGCTTTGTAGCATGGAGTATCCTATGGTGAAAGGAAAAGGAAGAAATAGCAAGACTGTTTCCACATACGCAAACCAGTTACTTTGAACAGCTTTCCCCAGTGATTCATAGCACTTTTAGGAACCAAACTTTTCGGCACAAGACTTGGGGCCACAGTCCAGAGAACCCACAATTTTATCATCAAACACAGGCAACAGTCCTATACAGTCCTACACAGAAGGTGCACCTTTCTCTCAATCGTTCTGGTGACATCAGTGAAGGGTTGGTCCTCCGCTAGTATTACACAGTTGCCTGTAGGAGGAGCCTTTCTCTTCCTATGCCTCTTTTACAGAAGCTGGAATGGCACTACGAGGTTTCCTGCTCCCGTGGTAGCAGAAGATTTTGGAAGGACTCAAAACAGGACTCCCTGCTGTTCACTCCTGCCTTCTTCTCTAGCGACCTCTTCAGTGATGTCTTCAGTATGACATGAAGAGGAGAGGGGCTACTTGCTGCTTCCCTGTTTCAACTGAACAGGGCTGTATATTCTTCTTCTTTTTATTCTCATTGTTCTTGTTATTTTTTTTTAAAAAACAGCTATTCTTATCTCCCATTCCCCAATTACAAGAAGTCAGTAGCAGGCACCAGCCCCTTTCTTCCTCTTTTATTTCACTTTTAACAGTTTGAGTATGCTACAGAAAGAAGGATTTTCCAGATGTCTTCTAGGCAGCCTTCTGGGAAGGCATTTAGAAGTTTTTTCAGGCCATCAAGATGCTGACTAGGATAGCAGCTCCACTGTAGGGCACTGTTGCCCATATTAGAAAGTTATCTTTCTCTCAGCTGTCAGGAAAGGCAGTGTGGGGCTCTCCCCACCTCCCTTTCTGCTGCTATGCTGGGCCTGCTGTCCCCTAAAGGAAGGTTAGCATGCTGCAAATTAAAACCTCAGACTCTAAGCATGATGTCTCTGGGTTATACACAGGTCCCATACAATGAAACTATAGCATAGCTACAACTTGGTGCTTTACTTTGTAGTGTGTCCATTTGCCCAGGTGAAGAAAAAGATAGCTGTGTTAACTAGATATATTACATTAATTAAATACATTATGTGCATGAAATAATGACATCATAATGAGAGCCAGTTTGGTGCAGTGGTGAAGGCATAGGCTAGAAACTGGGAGACTGTGAGTTTTAGTCCCACCTCGGGCACAAAGCCAGCTGGGTGACCTTGGGCCAGTCACTCTCTCTCAGCCCCAGGAAGCAGGCAACGGCAAACCACTTCCGAAACCTTGCCAAGAAAACTGCAGGGACTAGTCCAGGCAGTTGTCAGGAGTCAACACTGACTCAAAGCTCCCCCTCCCCCCCATGAATGAAATACAGAACCTGGAGCATCTGGTTCTGCATCCCTATAAGAGACCAGAGATCAACTTTCCTCCACCACCCCCCACCCCTCAGGATATGCTAGACTATATAATCCTGTAAATTAGGCTGGTAAGAATGGAAACTATACTTTAAGACATCTAGGGAGCACCAGTTTGGGGGAAAGTGCAGTAGGTCAATTAACTGATTCAGCATAAAGCCGCATCTTATGAACACCACATGGCTGAGCCAAATCGTTTTGCTGATGGAAAGTAATAATTCTTCCATGAACAGCTCCCCGTTCTTGAATAAGAAAACCCAAGAGAATGAAGATGGAAAACTTGGGTAACTCATTTGTTCCAGGCTTTTAAAAATATAAACGTTCCTGTTATTAATTATCAGGCTACTTTAAGGAAGAAAGCATTAAACCAAAGTGCCTTATCTTTCTGATAAGCATTTACGTTCACCAAGAAACAATATGGATTGAAAAAATAGAAAATACTAAAATAAGCTCTATAAAGTAATGCAACTAACTCAAACAGCAGCAGTCCATTCAGATTGATAAAATCAAAGCTGTTTTAAATGGAAAGGCTAAGATTAGCAGTACTTAAAAACCTAGGGAATCAAGTAGATAAAGTCTCCTCTGAGTGGAGCTGGACTCCGGGTGACCTCATGGACAGTCCAGGTCGTTTTATTGGCAAAGCACAGAAGTGGTTTCCCACAGCCTTCTTCTCAGGTTTTTTTTTTTTTTTTTTAACTCTCCTATCTCACCAACAGCCTTGGAATTCCCCCATCCAAGTACTAACCAGGTTCTGAGCCCAGACAAGGTCACCATTTTTTAGGCAGAAAAACAAGTACCAACACTTAAATGACAGTGATAAGAGTGTCATGCTGGGGATGATGTTCCAAAAGGAGGGGGCCATTGCTGAAAAGTCTCCATCAGTCACCATCTACAGCACTTCTTTGCTAATGAAGAAAAGCTTCAAAGAACAATTCCACTGGATATGGAGAGTGATATGGGAGAGCTGGTCTGACTAGTATTTGGGTATGAAGCCATGTAGAGTGCAAAAAAAGGCCGAGCCTTAAAATATATCCTGAACATTACTAGAACAGTGATGTCACTTCAATAAAAGTGAGATTTAATCTCTTTGACCCAGCATGGAGAGGTGTGTGCAGTCCCTCCATTCTTACTCATAACATTCAAAGAGAGGATTTCTTGGCCCAATAGAATAGCTGAGGATGAGTAGTTCAAAAACCATCCCTCAAGCAAAAGGCTTCAGGGTATGACCCCAGTGGGTGAAGTCTACAATTCAGATCCTGGAAGAAAGAAAGCCAGAGCCCTTAACTGTTTGTCTTGGCAGTTTCTGAAAAGGAAAAAAAAAGTCTGCTGCAGTTAATTTCTGCTTAAGCCGTGAATGTTTCTAAAATAAGACACCAAGTTCAAACCACAAGATCAGCTTCAAATGATATAATTTAAGTTTGTTTTGGAAAGTGTGAGGCCCAGCTATCTTTTTCTGTAATGGACTTACCTGATGGGTATGACAACATCTCTGAAATTGTGACATTCAATGGAAAGCAGAACCTTTTCTGAGCATTTTCCAAGGGTTCAGTGTGCAAACCTGAAGTAATGCCTCCTGGCGACATCACTCCTGGGAACTGTTTAAATAAGTTCCAGCCTCAACTGCAAAGTCATCAGTTTGCAGCAGTGATTGTTGCATGAGCCTAAAAAGTATTGGGCAGGCTGCTTTCTTTGAAAACAAATGAAAGAAAGAAAGACATTGCCTTGTACTTTGTGCTTTCAAAGGTCTGTCTCTGCCAGAAATCATTTTTTTTCCTGCACAATATAAAAGTTGGGTTGAGCAAAGAATGAGGGCATCAATATATTTCTCAGTAGGCACCGTATCTTCTGAATCTAGAAATCTATCTGGTATAAAGGGGTGCTTCAGCCACCTTCCAGTGGAGGTCCTGGGCTGCTTTAAAGAAGCTGGAGGAGAAGCCCTTTCTGCGTCAAAGATAAAAGAGAGGCCTTGAAAAACACTAATTCTGTAAAGCCTAAAGTCAAACTCTCTGTGTTTGATACTGGAAATTAGCAAAATGCATTCTTGATTAGGATCGTTGCACTCTTCATTTGATCACTGTGACCTTCTGCAATGGGGTATTACAACCAGGAGGATAATTTTTATATAATAATAGCTAACATGAAGTACAATGGAGGGCAGCCACTGCTCACAAAAACCGGAAGTGATTGTAATTGATGGATGGGTGCGAGCTCCTCCTATTAGTTTATGCCACAGAGCTCCATTTAAAACTTGTCTGTATGTATGTGTGTCTGGGTGTGTGTGTATCTGTATGAGAGAGAAAGAGAGATTTCGTTGCTGAGTGATTGATAAGAGTTGACACCAACCTGATGGCACGTAATCAAATCTATTTGCTGCATTATTTTTGTCCAGAAAGCCATTGCAACCAGCTGGAACAACTGCACGCAGACAGCAGCTGCAGAATGCCGAGTTCCTGCCTGTGTCCCTACTTTTTAGATCTTAGTTTTGGTTACTTTTGCTTGTATTGTTTTGTGCAAAGAAAATGCAGCCATCCTAACATTGCATCTGCATTTTAATTCTAAGCCTCCCAATAAACCAAAACTGGGTTTTAATTGTTCTGCCGAAACGTGACCATTTTGTCAGAACCCGATCTGGGAGATTCCTGATAAAGCAGGACAGCTCTCCCCTCTTGCTTTACTGTTCATCCCCAGGTCACCTGCAGCATCTCATCCTTGGGGAGTGAGGTCACTACACGTCATGCGCCAAGTGCTGGATGAGCTCTGCTAAAGTAGAGGAGGCACTGCTTCTGTGGGAAGCCCCTGTGCTGACCAACCTCAATTGTTCTTCCTCCTCTCAGATCCTTTGAGCGACCTGCCCACACGCTGCATGGGGCATGGCAGCAGCTTTGGTTGAAGTTGGAGAACTCTCTTGCCTACCTAAGAGATCTGTCGACATGCTGTGTAAGTAATCTGGGAGGGGAGAATAAATATGATTCTCTCCCCATCATGTTACCAGCAGGCCAGCCACTGCCCACTGGAGGCAACTGGAGGGGAAGGAGCATGTCCGCCCAGGTAAAAGGACCAATGAGAGCTGGGCAGATCCCGCCCCCTGCTGCATCATCCTCTCAGTCGTTGCCAAAGTGGCACGCATCACGCCAATAGCAAGGCTTGTGTTGGGGGGAGATGGCAAACACCACTTCAGCTTTGGTTCAGAAAAACAACATGGTAGTTAGGAGTGAGAGGAAGGCTGTGTGATGCAGAAGCAGCCTTTGGGAACAGCTAGCCAAGCAGCCTGAAGCCAAGGCTAGAGAGCTGTACAGATGTGCCAACAGAATCATGTTCTATCACCAAAGAGGATCCGAACACACTAGCCATTAGCTTGCAGAGCTGTTTGCAAGGGTAAATTTCAGCTTCATCCAGAAAACACAACGTTTGCTTGAAACTTTACAGCCACTTTTTTGGTTGAGAATGTGCAGACTTCCAATTAGACCAGCAGGGATTGGGAGAAATATCTGGTTCCCGCAAGCTATTTCTTCCCACATATGACCCAGCCTGGTTTTTTTTATTGTTTTCATGTGTTTGCCTGACAGGCAAACGTTTGATGGAAGGTTTGAGGAACTGGGGACATTGTGCTATCTCTGTTTTTAAACTGTAACAGGAAACAGATCAGATTTCTCGCAAAACCAACTTCTGATAAGGTTAAAACAGAGAACTAAGGTTATTGTGGGTCTATAAAGGGTCTAAGAGGAGTGAATTCTAGATCTATGGAGTCAGAGGATCCAGCCTCATTAGATCATCCTAGAAAGAGAGCACGTGAGAACTCAGGCATGTCTAAACATTCAGATCTTCCAGATGTGTGCCAGTCGCTGCTAAGAAGACTCACCATTGGTATGATTTTCAAAGATAAGCTTGTCATTGCATTCCTGCTCTTTCACACAGCCACAGATGTAAAAAGCCCCCTCCTCGTTATGCTGACGGACCATGACACACTGTGATGTGTTATACTTTGAAACCATGACATTTTCTACGGGAAGCTGCGGGTTGTGGCAGAAAGTGCTCACTTTTATACTTGCATTGCCTTGTTTCCTGAAATGAAAAGAAACAAATACATATTTTAATGCTCTAACATTAAGGCCTGACACTTCTGCTTCCCATTTTTGCCTTTCATCCTCCGCTCCCTTTCTCCTTTTGGATTGTATCTTTTTAGAGTGGAAGACCTAGTTCACACCTCACACCAAGCTGATTTCCTTAACCACAGTTTGTTGAATAAAACATAATTGACTGAGATTACCGTCATCCTAAACTATAAATCAAACACACTACATTATGATTTAGCATGAGGAATGATCCCACTCCAAGTCTGTTTTTATTGTTTAGAAAAAACTTCCAGCCAAAGAGTTGACAATTACAATGCTAATAATAGGTTATTACATTATAAATATTGTCACTGATCTCTCTCTCTCTCTCTGATAGGCAGACAGACAGACAGGTTTTGTCTGGGACGATTGCCTACAGACTCTGCAAAATTCTGTCTTTTCTTTTGCACATTACTTACTGAACCATCTCATTTTTGCAAATGCATCAGTACTAGATTCCATTAACTCAGATACCAGAGAAGAAAGAGCTACATATGAATGTAATATAACAGAAAATTTATTATTTTAGGCCCTGGTTATGTTTGGGAATTTTTTAAAAAAATGTTTGCTTACCATATAGAAACACAGATTTCTTCTGGTTTTTCACAATAGGAGCTTAAATCGCAGTTGCTATAGCACACCTGATTTTCACAGACGGGGTGTGTATTGTCACACCACTTGCATACATTGCTGTTCACGTTCCTTCCTGCTCGGCTGTTGCACGCTGTGAATATAAAATTGGACAAAAAATGTCAGCATTGGCACGAAAACTTTTCTGAGCCTTACCTGACTATCTGAGCCTAGATATGCTTTTCAACACAATCTTCCACGAGCTGTGAATGGCTAAAGAAGAGCAGGAGGCTACTTCAGTCAGTTCAAGGGCTCAAGGTGTTGCACTGCAGGAGAAGATGCGTGACCTAAAACTGGACAGGCCAGAGCACCCTGGGGGAACTTGATTGGAATGGAGGTCTTAAGCCTTGCAGAAGCCTAAAATATCCATTTTGTCCTCCTCAATCCCAACAGATGCCAAGAAAGAGCAACAATGTTTGGCCCCACACACTCTAGTGCAGAGGGCTGGACTCCAGGGGATTGTACCAAGTGTGCTTTTGAATTACATTTTGGCTAGGTTCACACTGTTCTTATGCTGTACGCTGAACATCCTATGGCTCTGTTCACTCAGTAAGCTTAGCCATAGTTAGGTGAAACATGGCTTCTGGGAGGAACCCAATTTTGCATGACACACTGAACCATAAACTAACTGTATGAGCTTGCACACCATGCTAGAAGATTAACTAGGCTGTCAGGTTGCATTCCTCATGTAATGAATTATGCCTAGTGAGCAAAGCATTTGGATGAGGTGACAATGCACAGTAGTACAGGCAAACCATCTCTTTGGATCATTAAAGCAGCTACATCCTTTTTAAGATTAATGCGGCTTCTTCAGAAGATACTCTTGACTGTCTCTGCATGTAACATTTCACTTTGCTGAACTGTTAACTGCATTCACATATTGTACAAATCCATGACCTGTCTAATTATGATTTATATATAAACTACATTTGACTAGGTTTGCATTACATGCTAAATCATAAATTATAATTTTAGGTGTTATGGCTGGCTTCACATAATACACCAAGTCACAATTAAACAAATTACTCTTAAATTCAGAACAATATGTTAATCTAGCAACACACATATATATAAACAGAGAAGGAGGCTATATTTTGGCTGTGGAAACACATACAGAACCCTACTGAAATAAGCTGAGGGAAGACTGTAATTCAACACATATGAAAAGCACCAACTACTGCCTTAAGGCAATACCTAGACAGACTTTTAGGCTTTGTTCACAGTATATAGTTAACTCAAATTGCTACTAACACAGACTGGGCTTTGATCACACAGTCACAACCAGCATCTTGACTTCTTGACACATGGACTCACAGATCCCCTGCTTGGCAGTTAATTTTTGCAATGGAGCACATGGTTCTACTTCTTCACATCTAAGAAGTGATTCACACAACACAGCGTGACTGGGGGAAAGGGTTTGGATTCACTAACAAGGCTGGAGTGATTCATTTCCTGTCCCTGATAGATGCAGAAACCAGCATAATATGCTGGATCTAGAAGTGACCATAGTAAGTGTGTTGCATAAATGCAGCTTTAGATTTGACAGAGGGAGTGTTAATAATCAGATTCCAGGATTAAGGCCTCTGAATGGGATAAAGACAGAATACCAAACCTTACAGTTAAGGTTGATGTAATCTAAGTACTGTATCACAGCATAAAAAGAAAGAAATATAGTGTGAGAACTTGGAGAGTGAATTCAAGGGCCCTGTAAACTAATGTTAAGTTTTATATGTGGGCTGCTTCTTTCTAGAAATCTGACATAGGCAGTGGTATTAACTACCTATTCAAACATTTTAAGTTAGATCTCAGTCAATGCTTGACATGTATATTTGTACATATACTGAAATGAAAATGTGATATGTCTTCAGTGACATTTTTTCAATGGAAAATTGAAGTCAGGTCTACGCTACAATTATATTACCTTCTCCAATCAGGTGCCCAGCTGTGTTTGACTTCAGCTTCTATAATCACCAGCCAGGACATATTAACAGGGAGTGACAGACATTCACGCTCAACATTTCTGGAGGGCACCACGTTGGAGAAGGCTGCTGTATATGACATGGTGAGTGATTTCACATACTTGTCACCTTTAAAAACAGTCTGGTTTGATTTTTCTAAAACATGGGCAAAAAGTAGGGAATGTTGAGCAAAGACTAAAATATGATTGGACCACATTTGGCAGATCGCACAGGAAGGCCTTCTTTCACACAAACATTGTTAATGATCCCACTCCACTCTGGCAGATTTCCCAGATCCAGGACAGATCAAAAGAATGGAATAACAAATTAAGGCAACAGAGTTATGTCAAAGATCAAGACAGAACATGAGACGAGATGGGCTAAGCTTCCCAATTTTTTATATAAACTCTCAGATTTTCTTGACAGAAGAAAAATGTAATTTTTAAACAACTTTCAGGCTGTGACACTATGATCTTTTAATTTTGCCTTTTTTTCCAGCTACAAATATTTTCAGTCACATAGCATGGGGAATAGACACGGTACAGAGGCATGAAAGAAGGAAGTAAGCAAAAAAATAAAAAATAAAAAAAATAAATCCCAGTTTCTCTTCCCCTCTCTCTCTCTCTCATTCTCTCTCTTTCTGCTGAAATTAAAAATTCAGGTATTTAATGGTTTTTTCTGTATTGTTCTCTCTTTCTTTATCTCTCTTTGTTTGATAGGAGATCACAGAAATGTAGAATCAGAGACCTGAAAGGGGCCATTTAGGGCATCAAGCCCAATGGTCTACTCAGGACAGGGAGCCATCCCAGGCAGATGGCTCTTTAGACCACTCCTCTGGAATCTCTCTGGAGAAGAAGAGAATGGGAGATTGCCCATGAGCGCTCTGAATGGCAGCTCCACGTGAGGGGACTGTAAAACAGCAGTTTTGAGTGCCTGGAGCCAAGGAGACAACATCTTTGTTCTCAGCAGCGACGAAGCCTTTAAAATAAGGACGCTAAGCCAGCCGAACTCACTTTCTAATCACATTCAGAAATGTTCAACTTAACCACTTTATGGATATTAGAGACCGTCAAAACAGTGAGCTTAATTTGACATTTTAAACAGAGTCTTAAGAGTTTAAAATAATATACAATTGGCAAAAAGCAAAAAATAAAATAAAATAAAATTTTGATTTAAGAAAGTTTTAAACGGATTGGGAGACCAGACAGATTTGGAATATTGGTTATTTTTGCTGTAAGATTTGAAAAACAATATGTAATTAAATGTAATTTAATTTATGTAATTAAATAATGCACCCGTGGGAAACAACTGAAATGGAGCTAAACCCATATTAGGAACTGAGGCTTGATGAAGGTGGCAAATGGACAGTAAAGGGAACTAAAGGATCAGGCAGAAAAGAGTTAAAATGGCTAAGCTGGCTATAACTTTTACTTTTCTTAAAGAATCCTTCAAAAAAATTGATGATGCAGATTTCAAATGGTTAAATGATAATGATACAGATTTCAATGGTTAAACTTTTAAAAGATGATGAGAAAATTTTTTAAAAAACAACTCTTACCTGACACAGATATTATAGAATCTGAAGGCATGAAAGGCAACAAAATTGAGATTACCAATACAAAAGACAAATCAAGAAAAGGACAAGGAACAGCTACAACAAGAAATCCTGGATGGTGCCTCTTCATGGAATTTACAAAGTAGGTTGGTGAAAGCTTTGAAGACTTCTTTTAAATACCAACGAATGATGAAAGATCAAATCCTGTAATGACATTGGAATGATTTAAAGGCCAAGATTGTGAAATGCAAAAAGAAGGAATATAAAGTTGGAGTATTTGATCAGATATAAACTATTTGTTTGACATTTCTGGTAATTCCTAATGGACTTTCTGCTGAACCAGGACTGAAATTATGACGATTTGTGGATTGTACATAGATAAGATTTAGGTTATGGGAAGAAGAGTTCTTTTATTTATAATTTTAAAAGAGGGTGAAAAGTTACTATATAAACTTATGTTCGGTGTGATGAAGGTTGGAAGCCACTTTCTTTATTACTGCCTTTGTTTCTTTTTTCTTTTTCTTTTTCTTTTTCTTTTTCTTTTTCTTCTTTTTTCTTTTTTCCTTTTGTTTTTCTTCTCCCTGCACCTTCTGAACTTTTCTTTTACTTTTCTTTTTCCTTCTAGTTTAGTTTGTATTAGTTTTTACTATGTTTACTAAACACTTCAATACAATTAAAACAAAAAACAAAAAACAAAAAGAAAACACTCCAGCAAGGGAGCTCACTGGATCCCTGGTTAATTGATGCAACCTCTGAACCATTTTCACCATTAAGTAACTTTCCCTGACATTCAATCATAGTCTGCCTTCTGTTCCCGAATATGAAAAGTTGCTTGGCTGGTTGCCTGTGGTAAATTAAAATAATTTCCAAACAACCAGTCAGGAAAACTATTACTGAAAGCTAAGCAAGTTTTTTCAGTTTGAGAAATGATGCACAAACATCTGTGGGCAAATGGCTCCTTGAAAATATTGAGGAGTACCAACAGGTGTAGACTTTGCCAACTTGTTCCCTGCTAGTCTCCATTCTCTTGGATCTGCTGTCATTAATGGAAGATAATCTGGACATAATAGCAGCATGGAGTATTTGAGTTTTATGAATCTATGGTTGGTGAGGAAACTGTTACTTCCTTTTCCAACAGTTAACTACAGTCCAGGGAAGTGGCCTTCCCAGCAAGCTAGAAAAATGTATGAGTTATTCAACTGTTGTATTTTTGGCACATCACATTAAACCTAAAGAGAGAATAGAAAGGGGTTAGATAGATGCTATCCAATTAATAAGGAGATTATAAGTTCAATGAGATTAGTAAACCAGTGTTTCAACTTCCAAAATATTGTTGAACGTTCATATGAAATTTATAGAGAAACAATGCCTATAGAAAATTGCTTAATGGTTTTTTGCAAATTAAAACAGCATTTCTTTATGGTTCCATAGAGAAGTTAGTTATGATATCCAACAAGAACTTAGGGGAGTTTTTCAAGGAAAGTTATTGCTAAAACTATAGCTTGAAGAAAATATTAATGGAGATATTCTAAGGAAAACTGGAAATGGAAAGACCAAGAATACGACCCTGGTATTCCTAAATAGGCCTGGGGAGGGGAGGGAGAAGATAAGACCAGGTTGCGAGAATTTCAGAGTCATCCTAGCCAACGCGTAGAAGTAGTCCGTTGTAGCCCTCCTGAAATCACTTGTAGGAACGCTCAGGAAAAATGTGAACAAGGGTATGGTTTGGCTTTCTGAAGAAAAAGGTTATATTCACTCCAAGGTTAACAGACTCAATCTGCTATTTTAACCATCAGATGATAGCACCTGATCAATCTGGCCTGGGCTCTGTAGCTGAATAGAGTCAGTCCCTTGGATGGAAGACTGCCAGGGAACCCAGGGCATGAGGCTAGGTTGGGAAGCTGAAAAAAAATCTTGGAAGACAGCAAGGGCAAATCACTCCCCTACTGTTGCCAAGAAACTTCATGAACATTTTCAGGAAGTCACCAGGAGTGAAGCTTGACTCAGAAGAGTTTCTAAATTACATTTAACTCATTTTATTGTGAGAAACTGAAGCATTGCTATGGACCACTGAAATATAAGGTTGGAAGAACAAGGTTTTTTAGCAGTTTCTCCTCCTTTCACTACCTGTGGGGAAGCAGCTAACAATTACATCACAGGGGGAGCTCACAGAATATGAAAAGGACCAACATTTTAAAGAAAAGGCATTTGGCCATGGTACTGGTATAGGATTATAACTAACTTAGGGAAGGGAGGGAAAGAGAAATCTGCCAAGGGCATTATCTGTGGGCAGCAAGCTACCTATTATTGGTATGGAATCTTAACTTGGAATGGATGAAATTCCTCTATGTTAATAGACAAGAATTTAAAAATTGTTAATATTTCTGTTAACAAAAATTGTTAATATAATAATACAATGATCAGAGGTCTGTTGTGAAGGAAGCAGATACCATGTTTCTTTCTCTCATAATGCTGTAGCCTAGAATCATCCAATAAAGGTGAAGGGTGTGGAGTCTCAGACTCAGTTGCCATCAATGTCAATAATAAATAATGGGTTGAAAGTTTAGTTTATTGACCTAAAACATAGTATATTCACTGTCTTGGTACAGATCATGCTATGCCAAAGGCAAGCAATTTGTTAAATCACATTCTGATTTAATGAATCACGTAAACCTACTTATTATGGCTTAGCATTATGTGTGAATCAGACCATTATAGCTTGGTGATGGAGATTCTTATCCTTATTATTACTTCTCTTGACTACTGCAATGTGCTGTACATGGGGCCATCTCTGAAGGTGACTTGGAAGCTTTAACTGGTCCAGATGTAGCAGCCAGGCTACCAACAGGTAGAACCGTTATTGAAATGTAACGTCTATATTTCAGTGTAACACTACCAGTAGGCTTCTGGGCCAAGTTCGAAAAGCCCATTATTATCTATAAAGCTCTAACAGTGTGCAGCATCAAGCTGTATTGGAGACCACTTTATTCATAATGAGACTGCTCTTTCTGTGAGGTCAGCTAGAGAGGGTCTGCTTAGAATCCCTTTCTCTAAGAAGGAAACACAGGTCAGAAGATAGGCCTCTTTGGTGATGGCCCTGATGTTATGAACTATGCTGTTCCCAGAGTCTTCCTCACATTCTGAAAAGCATGGATGGCCCTTTTTTTCCAGTGGACATTCAGTCACTAATCCAGTGATGGCTGGATAGCTATTTAAGGTAGTTTTAATATTATTGGGGGGGGGGGGAGTTGTGATTTGAAACATTTTGATTTTATGTTTATTTTGTAAACCACCCAGAGCCTATATGAATAGGCAATGTGATATTTTTTCATAAATAAATAAAACTTGTTCAACAAACCCCATTGAAAAATCCTGGGTAAGCATTGCGTGTGGATCAGATGAAGGTCTGGATAACTGCTCAACCTGAGCTTCAAGATAACACTGGATCTGACAGTCCTCTGATCCATTATGTTTTCTATCACTTTCTACTGAACCTTGGGAGGCTAACGAAAACATTTCATGGTTAGAGAACAACTGGAAGAAGGTAGC